ATAAGGATCAGATTTGATATATAAAAAATTTCAATTAAAAAATTGTAAGAGAAAAGCAAATAACAATTATAAAAATAAAGATCAGAATTAATATAAAAAATAAATTATAACGGATTAAATTAAAATAAAAAATATTCAAAACAAAATATATATAGTAATCAAAAGTTTGAGAATCAAATTTAATTTAATAAGTAAATAATATAATATTTTTAAATTTTTTATAACTTCTATAAAGTGTATTCCATTCAAGAAAAATATTTTTTTAGAAACTAAACTAAAAACATTTTTGACAAAAAAAATTAAAAATTAATTTTAAAAAAATTATTTTATGTTAAACAAATAAGGCTTTGACGTGCTGGAGACCAGCTTGACAAAAAAGTCTCCTTTTGGATTCATAGATTGGAATGCATGATGAATAAGGTAGGTGTGTGTTAGTTTGGATCATTGCTATAAAATCTAATATAGTTTATGGCTAGATGAGCAACTTAAATAAATCTAAACAGTATTATTTTAGAGAGATTTTAAAAAATAAATTAGATATTATTTTTATGTTTAAATAAATTTAAATCTATTTTTTTTTTATGTTTGATGCTTCTAATCAAATGGACTAGTTTATAAATTTTATAAGTCAACATGGGTTCATATTTTTTTTTTCTTTTCAATCTCATTACTTGATATTTATTTTTTTAAATAGGATTTATAGTTTTTTTTTCTTTTTTTATATGGTTATCTTGATTTCATGACCTAACATATGTGTTTGGCGATCTAATATGAGTGAGTTCACGTGTTTTTTTAATTTTTAATTAGCTTTTATTTTATTTTATTTTAGATTTTTTTGTATATGAATTTTTTTAAAAAATATTCTTTAAAATTTAATTTATTTAAAATTAGTTTTAATAATTTTTTAATACCCAATACTTTTAATAAAATGACTTGAGATAAGGGTTGCCATAAGTTTTATTTACTTATTCTTTTTCATTTATGATTGGATATTTCTTTCAAAAAAACAAAGAATTTTATGATGTTTTTTGTATTTTAAATTAAGTTCTCTTAATCTTATAATTTGATATATAGATATAACAAGTTCAATCTAATAGACTCATATTTTTTTATATCTTATAATTTTTTTAATCTTATTCTATATTTAATTTTTTTTAATATTTTATTAATTAAATATCAGTTTTTCTAAATTTATTATTTTTAGTTAAATGACCGGAGTTATAATATTATTGGGTTAACAATAACATTTCTAAAACTTTTTTTTATTTTTTTAGTCTTCAACATTGTTTTTTTTCTCGTTTAACATTTTTTTTTGTTCCTCTAAAACGTGATTACATTTCCAGGATATCATTTTTTTTCTCGTTTTGTTTTTTATTCGACCTGCCAAGAATCACAGGTCAAATAGCTTGTTTTGTCTGATTTGCATAAGCTTTTCTGTTTTGCGATGACATGATAGTTGGTTTTGATTAATTAATTTCAAACTCTGAGCTTTTCTTCGGGAGAAATTTCTTCCAAATAGAAGGAGATTTTTCAACCGATAAATGAATTTATTTTTCTACAAGTAAATTACTTGTTCGAAATCTTCATATCATAAAAAAGGGGAAAAATCGAGGATTGAAATAATTGATTGGAATGTTTTCTTTTAATTATACTCAATTGATAGATAGCGAGATGGTGGTATACCAATAGTGTAATTATCTCCTTTGAGAGGTTTTAATCAATGTAATTAAAAGGAAATTTTACTTTAATTAACGTAGGAGCGAGAATTAACGTGTATTAATTGAGGAGAGATATTAACATTTCCCCTTTTCATGTTGCTCTGTTTACTTTAACAAAGCAACCTCTCTGTTTTTTTTTTCTACTTTCTACTTTCTGCTTTTTTTTTTTAATTATTCTTTAGTCTCTTTTTTTTTTCAATTAATTTATCTCTCAATAAGTTTGTTTATTTTGTTATCATAATTTAAAAGATAAACTTGAATTTTTAATTATTTTTTAGTTATTTTTTTTAAATTTTATTATTTTATATTTAATTGATTTAAAATTAAATTTTATAATTTATTTTATTTTTTATAAAGTTATCTTAATTTTATTATTCGGGTGCTTTAATAGTTTAACATGTGTTGATTCAAGTATATTTTATAATTTTTTTATAATTTTTTTATTTAATATTAAATTAATTAAAAACTAATTTTTATATTTTTTATGAGATTATATCAATTTCAATAACACATTCAACAGGGTAATATTAATTAACTAAGTCGATTTAATATATTTTTATTTTAACATGTTAAAATATCATCTTAAAAGTAATTTTATTTAAATTTTATTTTTAACAATAATTTTATTTTTTTGGAAAAGTTAATTGACCACGTAATTTAATTTTTTTACTATAAAATACATCAGGAATAATTGAATGTTTTTTATATTAAAAAAACTGATATGATCCGTATCTTAGTTAAATCAGTATCTAATGTCGTACTATTTGAATAAACTCCAAAATAAATAGTAAAATATTATTTGTCACGATGACCTCAAGTCTGGTGGGGCATTATGTAGTACCACAGTAAAAAGTTTTGTGCCTGTTTGTTAACGTGTTTTTAATTGTCATTGAGTTTGTTTTGATTTTTGTATTTTAAAAAAAATATAAATTATATATTTTTAATTAATTTTGATATATTAATATAAAAATTTTTAAAAATAATATTTTAAAATAAAAAACATTTTCTAAAAAACCCAACATGTTTGCTCGGGATTACAACACAAATAGAAATCGGTGAAGATTCAATTTGTTTTTTTTTTTATATTTTTTTTTTTTAAAAAATTTTTTTTAAATATTTTTAAATAAAAAATATTTTTTAAAAATCCAATACTACAATTAAATATTAAAAATTAATATAATTAAAAATTTTATAATTTATAAAAATAATTAAAATACACGTAAAGTAAGTTAAAAAAAAACACTGCTGGATGACGATATCAAGTAGGCGTCCCCTGACATGTGCATCCTGGACGAGGCAAGTTGAAGGAAGGGTGGCGCCCACCATGGAATAGCTTTTACACAAGCAGCCAGGAAGGCCACTGGCAGGGGTCCCCGATCAGATACACCCGCACGTTTCCCCTGCGATTGGATTCATAACTCCTAAGATATATCTCTTTCTCGACGTGCAAGATGAACTTTCTGGGACGCCCCTTTTAGTGGAATTTATGATGGTATATTGACAGACTTCATTTCGGTTCCTTGTCATGGTTTCTATTTTACAATGATTATTTCATACAGTAGTGATAACGATATGTTTCCTGTGCACGATTTATTTTTGTATTTGAAATTGTATTTATGTGTGTCTGGTTTGAAAAAAATTAAATTATTTTTTAATATTTTTATTTTAAAATATTAATATCAAAACTAAAAAAATTATTTTAATATATTTTAAAATAAAAAATATTTTAAAAATGTATTATTGTAATGTGGATCATGTACAAATTTAAATTTCATGGGACTCACCTTATAGTATAATCTGGAAACTCAATTAACCTAGTCTGAGATCAAAACTACAAATTAAACTCTTTAATTCAACTCAATTTATTTTTATTTATAAAATATTAAAAACAATTTTATATTAAAAAAATCAAGTTTTTTAGTGACCCGGTCCAGACCAAATCCCACCCATGAGTCATGCTAGATATTATAAATACACCTCGCATTCGGAGGACTAGGAGAATTACTTAAATGGCATCTCAAGTTATCCAAAATATAACTGTGTTCTCAATGAGATGATATGTATATGTATATGTATATGTATGTATGTATATAGGTCAAATATTTTCGGGTCAACTTACATCTACTTAAATTAAAGCTTTTGTAAATCAATTCTTAAATAATTTATCCGGCTTAAATAATGATAAATTAATACAAGTTTGTATTATATGGTCAAATCCAAAATAATAACACAAGTAAAATCTAATATGAGACAAACTTTAATCATAAATAATTAAATTATTATGTTATTTTTCAAATTGATAAAATTTAAAGATTTGAAAAATAAGGAATTAAAGTTCTATTTGGTTACACATTTATTTTGTGTTTGAAAATATTTTTTAAAATAATTTAAATTGAAAAAATTATTAAATATTATCAAATAATTTTAATATACCAATTCTGGAATTATAAAAAAATACTTAAAAAAATAATTAATTATAATCTAAGTTTTCAATCCAAATATATTTAAAAAAAACAATAAATGCACTCTTTTTTTATTTAAAAGTGTGTTTGCTTGCATGGTTTTTCCTGTATTTCAAGTAATTATAATAACATAAATATTTAAATATATTAAAAATATCATTTATTTTTGATAAAATTATTAATTCATGTAATTGTTTTTCCATGACAATACAAATATTTAATTATATTAAAAATACAATTTATTTTTAATGAGAATTATTTATTTACAAGGTTGTTTTTGTATTTCAATTAACCATAATAATATAAATATTTAGATACAATAAAAATATAATTTATTTTTTATGAAAACTATTTATTTATGTAATTGCTTCTGTGGTTGCAGGAATCACAATAATATAAATATTTAATTATATTAAAAATACAATTTATTTTTAATGAGAATTATTTATTTACAAGGTTGATTTTGTATTTCAATTAACCATAACAATATAAATATTTAGATACAATAAGAATATAATTTATTTTTTACGAAAACTATTTATTTATGTAATTGCTCTGTGGTTGAAGGAATCACAATAACATAAATATTTAATTATATTAAAAATACAATTTATTTTTTATAAGAACTATTTATTTGTATTATTGTTTTTGTGTTTGATGCAATCATAACACCAAATATTTGATTTTAATTTATTAAAAATGCAATTTATTTTTTTGACTTTCGGCGACGGCATCGAGACGCAAGAAATTTGAGGCTACACCTGTGTAAAAACACGGTACACCTCCCAGGATTTCCTTATCGGGCTCATCCACTTTAAGTCTTCTGCTCTCCTTAGCACAGAGGGGGAGAGGGAGACTGTCTCTATTTTAGCCAGGCTTATCTGCCTGGGACATATATCTCTGGCTTTTTAAGACAGCGAAGCTTTTGAGAGTTGTGATAGGTGTACGGGGTTTGAACTTTTAAGGGAATGCCACTTGTTGGTTCAGACCAGACGCACGCTGTCTTCACATTCTGGTAACATCTTGCGAAGGTAATTAGGTTTTCAATCTTCTCTTACTCATATCTCCCTCCTCCTCCTTGTGTTTTTTGCTCCAGAACTCTATGCACCGTGTGACTATTAGAACAATACTACTCGCCATAGAGAAGCTAACCAACGGGAACCAACCTGCTAATAATCAAATAAATAATCAAAGCTTTGGAAATGAGCATGTGAATCTTTGGAAATGAGCATTCCACTCGTGAGTTTTCGGACCCTGAATCGTGGTTATTAAATAAATAATTTAAACTCTGAATTTGATAAATTGTGTTATGTTTATTTATTCATGAACCCACCAGCTACTTATGCACAAGCCTTCACCGAGCTTGAAGTCTCTTCGATGTGTGTGTGTGTGTATATATATATATATATATATTCTGCAGGGTTTTGGCACTTCAAAAATCTGAGACAATCCAACTAATAACGCAGGAATTAGAACTTGGGATTTCCTTTCAATGTCAAGAATGAGAGTAGCAGTGGTTGGTGCTGGGCTTAGTGGACTTGTTTCAGCTTATGTTCTTGCCAGAGCGGGTGCTGAGGTTGTTCTGTACGAGAAAGAGGACTACTTGGGCGGCCATGCTAAAACTGTCCGCTTCGATGGTGTTGATTTAGACCTCGGTTTCATGGTCTTCAATCGGGTCAGCAACTGCTTATCTATTTTTCATTTTTCTTTAATTCTCTGTCGCTCTCTTGCTTTCCCTCAATGGCACAGGCATGGTTTGATATATAGATGTTCTCGTGCTTTATCACGTTAAAAAGGAAAGAAAATAATGATTAAAAAATATGCATGAACTCGAGATCACTCCAGTGCTTGTTCGACTACATGGAGCTACCTATAACTGTTTTCTTCTGAAAAGATAAATAGAAATTCGGTTGATAAATACAAAGAACAATATTTTTAATGTGTTACATTCTTTTCCGTGGCCTCTAGGCACAATGGAATTATACTTTTCCGTTGAGTATTGAGTAGTGACGCGGACGCCTGTGAAGCATCGCAATTGTTCTCAAGGGAAACTCTTTCAAGTTATATATATATATATAATCGCTATTCTATTTTTTATTTATTCTGATAACATGTTATGAGATCTATAGAGTTATGGAAGATTAGAAAGGTAATTTTTCTTGGTACCACCCTGTTGGATGCATTAAATGCAATAAAATAGTGTTTAATTATTATTTTGGAGATAGAGTTTCTATTTTCTATTTTCTGTTGTGAAAATATAAATAATTATTGTAAAACCATATCAAAAACAAATTTATTTTATGTTTTTGTTTTTTCATCTCCTCAACTTGACATTTATTATCTTTATCTTTTCTATCAGCAACTGAACGGGTAGTCTTTTTTTCGTGGCTGACTTGTCTGGCTACAACAATAATAATTGTGTCTAACAAGGTTGTTGGAAAACTCTGGACATAGATGTAATGAAAACATAGCAACTATAATAATAATTATATTAAAACACTTCTAAAACTCTGAAATTTTATTTCATCATGAAAGCTTCTAAAGTGAGTTTTGAACACGATTATAACCTTTTTTTCATACTTGAAGACTTATGACTTAACCCCTTGATTTTTATTGATTGTTGTAATGGTAAGAAACATGTTGGCCTTTTCTTGGTCCGCAATCTTCCATTTTTAAATTCTTACAGGAAAAACCTATATTCAAAGCTTAGATAAAACAAAACCATGGGGTTAAAGTGCATGTATTAAATCATGAAAAATTAATGGCATGTTTAGTGATCAAATGTATATTCTAATTGACAATATAATGAGATGATTCATTGCATTCCTATGTTTGGTTGTAAGAACTTTTAAAGATACAATGGAGGTCTCAATAAAGTTTCATTTTTAATCCTTCTAGTTCAAAATATAGTCTTTATATTTTATTTTTATTTCTAATTTAGGTCTTATTTGAAATTTATTATCCTTGTATTTTATAAACAAATACAACTTAGTTCTTACTTGCTAGCTAAGCTAGACAAGAGTTCTAATTATAGGAAAATATATCTTGTTAAATAATAGTATCCATGATAACAGTATCTCTTTGTCAATAGCTATAACTCAACTGTTATTAGTTTTTCTTCTTCCATTGAGAGGTCTTGAGTTAAAGCCTCTTTTATAATAATAAAATAAATAAATAAATTCGAATCTCATTATAATAATATTTGACGTGAATTTTTCCTAGCTAACCAAAGCTTAGCAAATTGGTCATGTGTAAATGAGGTTGTAGGTTTTGTCACAAACTTGCGAGTAGGATTAATTGACTTGGAAAGATATTGGGATCATGAACAGGTAACGTGTCCAAATATGATGGAGTTCTTTGAGAACCTTGGGATAGACATGGAGTTATCAGATGTGTCGTTCTCAGTGAGCTTAGACCAAGGCAAGGGTTATGAATGGGGAAGCAGAAATGGGTTTTCAGGTTTGTTTGCTCAGAAGAAGAATGTGTTAAGTCCGTACTTTTGGAAAGTGCTTCGAGAAATTGTCAAGTTTAAGGATGATGTGCTCAGGTGAGCCATTCTCTTTTCACACACACACACATATAAAGAGTGCTGAAGACATTAAACTTAGACCGCATGTGGTACTTGTATTTATTTTTGGAGCTGAGAATTAGCTGCTTACATCAAACTTACAAGGCATGTTGTTAATTAGGATACAGGATGTGCAATCACCATACATTCAATAAAATTTGTTGTATGTGCAATCGCCATACATGCATATGATTTTCAGGAACTTATTGGGTTTTTGATCTTCTAGACTTTTGTTGTTTGGGCATATAGATAGTTGGCAGTGTGTGATTTCATGAGTTTTGACCTGAGAGTTTGACTCTGTTCAAGGATAGACAAGCCTTTTAAGGCACTGATTAATGTCTCACGGTAATTCTAATGTTCTCTCAGTGGGAATGGCACCTAATTTAATTTTTCTTTTTTATTGCAGTTATCTTGAGGTTCTTGAGAATAACCCAGTTGTTGATAGGAATGAAACCTTAGGTCAATTCGTCAAGTCAGGAGGTTACTCTGAATTATTTCAGAAGGCTTATCTTGTGAGATCTCTAGAACATTTATCGGTCCCATTTTTTCAACCGTCCGATTAGATTCTACCTTTGATCAGTTCAGTTACTTAATGACATAAATAACGTTGCTTTTCTTAGGTTCCTGTTTGTGGTTCTATATGGTCCTGCCCTTCAGAAGGAGTCATGAACTTTTCAGCTTTCTCTGTACTCTCATTTTTCCGTAATCATCATTTACTTCAGGTAAGTGCTCTTTCTGAAAGAAGTGTAATGCATCAATTTAACCAATAAGTGATGCCAATATGTGCATGAATTGTTTCAAGTAAATTGCAATCATTGTCATCCAACCATTTCTATGTGCACCATTGAACAGAGTTCTTTTGGCACTACGTAAGCAAACCTTTTGTTTTTGTCTGTTACTGGAGTTCTAGGCAAATAGATGTATCGGATTTCTCATTGAATGCTCTTTCATACTATACAGCTCTTTGGTCGGCCTCCGTGGCTCAGAGTAAGACGGCAATCTCGTTCTTATGTCAACAAGGTGCTCAATTGTTGCTTTTACAGTGCATCATATTATTTCTTAGCAGTGTCTGAGTAGTCGTTTAAAGTTAATGGGTTTTAGTTTTGAGCTGAAATGGCATGCTTCTTATGTTTAATATTAATTCAATGTGCCAAAAAATCAGGTCAGAGAAAAGCTGGAAAGTTGGGGTTGCCAAATACGAACTGGTTGTGAGGTACAGGCTGTTTCAACTACAGATGAGGGTAAGCAGTAACATTAATTTAGTGGAAAATTCAAGGCGCTAGATTCTGTTTAGCATAAAATGATGATTTATGCTTGATGATGTAAGGTATTTAAAAGCAGAAGTTGATTGTATGTACAACTTCTGCAGAAGCAAAGAAAAACTTGAAATAAAGTTAAAAGAAGGAAAATGAACTGAAAAATCCTAAGTAACTGATGAGCAATACTTTTCTCTAGTAACATGAGAAGTATCTTAGCAGGTTGTGCAGTACTCTGCAGAGATGGCTCGCTAGAAATGTACAGTGGCTGCATAATGGCTGTCCATGCCCCAGATGCTCTGGGAATATTAGGGGAGCAAGCAACATTTGATGAGACGAGAATACTTGGTGCTTTCCAATATATGTATAGGTATTTATTTTTATTGTTTTTCACTTTTCATTTGTAATGTCAGGACTCAAGAATAAATGAACGAGCACTTCTTAACTTTTTGTAGTTGAAGTTTAACAAAAACTAACTGTTGAAAAGTTGATGTAATTGTAAACTCATTTATTTCACTTGCTCAAGATTTTCAATCATTCCACAATTTCTATTGGCAGCGAAATCTTCCTTCACCGTGATAAAAAATTTATGCCCCAAAACTCAGCGGCATGGTGTGCTTGGAATTTCTTGGGAAGTACAGAGAATAAAGCCTGTCTGACATATTGGCTGAATGTGCTTCAGGTTTGTTTTTAAATTTGTAATTAAGTCTCAGAATTTATCTGTCAGATTTGAAAAGAACAAGAAATTAGCCCAATGTCCCACTATCTAATTCTGTTTTTGAAATGTTGTACCATGCTGCAGAATATTGATGAAACAGGTCTACCTTTTCTTGTGACGCTTAATCCCGATAATGCACCAGATCATACCTTACTCCAATGGTCGACCGGTCATCCAATTCCATCTGTAGCTGCCACAAAAGCTTCACTTGAACTTGAGCATATTCAAGGCAAGAGGAGAATTTGGTTTGGTGGAGCCTACCAGGGTAAGTCTTTTGCTTGTGAAGAAGGACACTAGTACAGATACAATGTTTGCTTCTTCTATCAGATGAATTTTTATATATTCTGTATTACCTTTTCTTTCCAGATGCACTCATGATTCAAAACATGATTTCACTTGGTGATATCCAGATAAAAATAGAACTTTAAGGGCTATGCTCATTTTTTTGTACTCTTATAGGCTGCAAGTGAAATGTCTTTCGGAAGAAAATAAGAAAAGTGAAATAATGTTTCGGTATAAGATAGAAGGTTGAAGACTCTAGCAATTATTGACGACCTTAGATAATCTGGAAAATACTTCAATCAACTGCTGGTGGCTTTGCTAACATTAGTTTGTGGCAAACTTGTAATTCCAGTTTTTTATTTGATGTGGGGAGATGAGCTTATTTGCCACACACCTTTTTTTTATCTTTCCAGATCTAGAAGGAGAGATTCTTTTGAAGTTTCCCTGATAATTCATTTCTTTTTTTGTTCAGTCTTCAGAGACACTGCAACTTTTCAGATTTTAGATTACTGGATTAGCTTGATACTTGATCAACTGACCTGTTCGTGTTGCATTTTCAGGTTATGGCTTCCATGAAGATCGACTAAAGGTAGACATAATTAAGTAGAGATCCACTATGTTTGTAGTGAAAATTCAATTCCTCTTTGTTGTATTTTTGGTCAGTTTCCACATTTCTTTTTGTTGGGAAGGTATAAAATATTGAAATGTTTTCTAGTTCTAGAGTACAAAGGAATCGACCGCTGATACATTTCTGCTATGAAATTCTGTTAACCAACCTATGTTCTCTGAACTCTTTGTGGAAATGTCGTCTTCAACTCTTGCAATGAAAATACCTTCTTTTTTATATGATTTGAAAAATTGAGTTCAAAATGTATCCTGCAACAGGTAACAAATTAGCATGCAAACTTGCTTATGAATTACTGTTCTCTTTTCTGAAACATGCTTTTGGTACTCAAAATTGAAAATCAAACAGGGCCTTGTTTTCTTGTCTCCATGAATTCATTAAGTATCCAGTGTTCTTTTCATGATATCATGAAGTTGGTGTTCTGCCATGGACAAGTGAGGGATATCAGTTCTTTGTATTGGTGCCGATACAAGAAAATGAAATTATTTCTCTTTCTATTACACTTTGCAGTCTGGCATGGTTGCTGCACATGGTTTGCTTGGAAAAAGTTGTGACATTATGAGGAATCCAAAACATATGGTACCTTCTATGTTAGAAACTGGGGCGCGCCTTTTTGTTACTAGATTTCTTGGACATCATATCTCTACTGGCTGTTTAACGTGAGTTCACTTATAAAGATAATTGCATTCCCTTCTTATGATGTTTTTCTTTCTAGCATTTTGCTGTTAGGAAAACATGCATACAGTCTGCTCTTTCTTTTATATTCATAAGGTCACCCCTTCTTATCCAAGACCAAATGTAGGTTGTATAATGGTTATCATCTTTCACTTGGATGCTGGACTGCAAGAGCATTGGAGGTTTAGTATCTGAGGTGTTTTCTTCACTTCATGGGAATGGGTTCATGTAAACATGTAGCCATTTAGTGAATGTTCATTTCCTTTTGTAATTATTCTTCTGTCGTGGGTGGATGATGCAAAATGTGGGTGTTCTGTAGATTCAGCTCCTCTATTGTCTTTTCAGGACGAAATCTCGTGTTACAACATTACTATCTTTGTTACCTGTCCAAATTGTTTAACTTGATTCTCATTTCTTCAATAAGCTTGTGTTTTCAGTCTCGAATATTACTGCCATTGACAGCCCATACTAGATTTTCCTCTCTTTTTTTAATCAACATATGGTGATTTGACAGTTTGCTGGAGGATGGAGGCACAGTTTTCTCCTTTGAGGGAACTTCTAAAAAATGTTCTCTGAAAACTGTTTTGAAGGTTCACAATCCGCAGTTTTACTGGAAGGTATGTACTCCAATGTAGTTTTGCTTTTGAGTGAGTCGCATGCCACCTTGAGTTCAAAATTAGGAAAAGTTTTAACTGAATGTCGTGACAAAAAGCAGAAGGTATTTTAAAATTTAGAATAATTTAGTGCCTAGTTGAAAACTTTCACTACAACTAATGAGCCCAAGAAAATTTTCTCAGATAATGACACAGGCCGATTTAGGCCTCGCAGATGCATATATCAATGGTGATTTTTCCTTTGTTGACAAAGATGAAGGTCTTATAAACCTTTTCATGGTGAGATAACTGATATAAGCTATCTCTTGTGGATGGACTTCCAAAGAATTCTCTTTTCTAATAATTTATATTGCAGATTCTCATTGTAAATAGAGATGCTGATAATTCTACATCCAAGTTGAACAAGAAAAGGTGTGTTGTGACTGGTAACTCCAAGAATATGATATTAAAAGAGATTGAATCTTATATCTTATTTCATCAAGTATTCCCCCCCTGTTTGTCTCAGGGGCTGGTGGACACCATTATTATTCACAGCTGGTATTGCATCTGCAAAATTTTTCATTCAGCATGTTTCAAGGAAAAATACTCTTACACAAGCTCGCAGAAATATCTCTCGTCATTATGACCTGGTATGAGATGGTTGAACTGGCACTAACTCCAAAAATTCAGTTTTCTTAGAGCGGCTAACATTATGCTTAAACATCTCTTTCTATGCCGTTTTGGATTTTTCTCTAATGTCTTCTTACGTGTAATGGAAGGAAAAAAAAATAGGCCACGGCTGCTTGCAAGGCTCAATGGAAAAATTATTTAATCTTTGAGATGGAGATGACGGTGCAAAGATTTGAACACCGAACCCTTTCTTTTAGATGGTTCCAGTTCATACCATTTAAACTGTCACATCTTGCTAAATTTAAGCCTTTTAGAGTGGAGGCCTAACATTTCTTTCAATGTCATTCTTGCTATACCTTTAATGGAGATACCAAAGTCAATTCCTCATCTCATTAGTGCATTTTGGAAATATCTGAAAACAAGAGTGAGAAAAGCTACCAAATAACTTCTAAGATTCTATGTAATCTTACATATGTGAACCAGTAAAGTAATGGACTTGCCAAAGCATTCACATGAAAGCATTGCCAAAGTTTTAGTTTCTAAGGTTCATCTTGAATCTTGTCAAAGTAAGAACTCTTCTAAATCGTGTGTCAGATCATAACGATGAGACAGTGCTGCTTCTACTCTAACAAATATTCACAGGGGCTACAATTTCAGAATTCTAAATTAGTGACCTCGTCAGCTTTTTCCCATATTGAAGTGTTGTGAGGGTACTTGGTTTCATTATTTTTCCACACGTTCAGTTTTGTTGTGGCCTTAAACTGTTTTGGTTGTGAAAGAAGTAATTAAGCGTGATTTATGACTAGAAGCTTACATCCCTTTCTGGTTGTGTCTCCAGAGTAATGAACTTTTTGCTCTGTTCTTGGATGAAACAATGACATACTCCTGCGCGCTATTTAAGGTTGGAAGCCCTGCATATTGATGATTTCATTTAAAATAACGCATGAAAAAAACAATATAATCCTTGGCATGCTATGTTTAACTGATGATATATTCATATTCCTGTGTTGTTTTAAAAGAAAGAAGATGAAGACTTGAAATCCGCACAGATTCAAAAAATATCCCTTCTAATCGAAAAGGTAAGCCTGTTAATTATTCTTGGACAGCTTGACCAAGGTTGCTTGATACTAATGTCCACTTTTATGTGCTTGCATTTGACAATCTAGGCTAGAGTCAATAAAGACCATGAAGTTCTTGAGATTGGTTGTGGCTGGGGAACCTTAGCTATTGAAGTTGTCCAACGAACTGGATGTAGATATACTGGCATCACTCTATCTGAGGAGCAACTAAAATATGCAGAATTGAAAGTGAAGGAAGCGGGCCTCCAGGTATGAAGTAGAAATTTAAAAGGACTTCTGCAATTCTGATATCGCCCAGATTTTCCTACTTTTTTTCATTTTGCAGTCTTCACATGCAAATGGATGTAAAAAGCTTGTCCAACATAATTAAAGATCGTATTATATAGCAAGCAAGGATAAAGTTGGCAGTGTTGTTCTGACTTAACTGTCAAGGAGATAGGGTTTTGTAGCAGTGGATTTCTTTTTCTCTGTATTAAAGCAGAACATGGTTGTTTCTGAAATCAAGTAACTTGTTTTAACGTTAACCATGTTACCAGGACAGTATAAAATTTCACCTCTGTGATTATCGCCAATTGCCCATGACCCACAAATACGACAGGATAATATCATGGTGAGTTCTTTCACCACCATTTTACATTCTGATCTTAGAATGTTGTACTAATACCATTGCTTTGATGCCCTTCTCTTTGCACTTGTCCAGTGAAATGATAGAAGCTGTTGGCCACGAATACATGGAAGAGTTTTTTGGTTGCTGCGAATCAGTATTGGACGAAAATGGGCTTTTTGTCCTACAGGTAATGAAAATATGGGAAAAAAATAGTTTTGCATATTTGTGCACATTTCAATTGTAAAGTAATGGGTTTGATGGCATAAATCAGTGCTTAATTGCCAGTTTCTGTAGCAGTTTGGCCAATGCACATTACTCTATGTTTTAGTTGACACCGAGGCCTAAGGGGGCTAATGGTTTTCTAACATATTTTTGTAGTTCATATCAATCCCGGAAGAAAGATATGACTTGTACAGGCAGAGTTCAGATTTTATTAAGGAATATATATTTCCTGGTGGATGCTTGCCTTCATTAACCAAGATAACATCAGCCATGGCCTCTTCATCAAGACTCTGGTAGAGGCCATCATCAGTTTTAGCTGAATTTTGCTGCTGATGTTTTGCTCTTTCTTCAAACTACTTTTCTGCAAAATGAATTTAATTTGTGTTTGTGTAGTGTGGAGCACGTGGAAAATATCGGAATTCAGTACTATCAAACACTTAGATACTGGAGAAAAAACTTCTTGGAGAATCAGAGGTAAAAATCACTTCAGAATTTTTCACATTATTTTGTAACTTGTGGGGTCAGCTTCACCATGTGCAACAATTATTTTGAGTACCAGGTTGACTGTTACTGGATGCCTGATGATTCATGATGACAAATGTCAAATTATTTGACTACAATGAGATTACATGATTACTTGCTAGATCCTTGTTGATCACACTACATTTTAAAACTAGCTGCTAGGCAGTGATCTTCATGAATAATGCTTGACACAATTCACTTTGCCCCAGAGAAAAGAAAATACTTGGCTTTAGAATAATGAAAATATTTGACATAATAATGCTTGACACAATTCACTCACTATTACTTGGTTGATCTAACTATGACGTTTGCAATATCTGACACCAGAAGTTTATGAAAAATATGATCTTTAATGTCTTTTTACTGATAACCATGGTGGCTAATTGTAGAATAACTATAATTTTTAGAATTAAACAGACTATTTTATGGTGGGCAGAGAAATTCTTTCCCTGGGATTCAATGAAAAGTTCATTCGAACATGGGAGTATTATTTTGACTATTGTGCAGCTGGTTTCAAGACACACACACTTGGAAATTATCAGGTACATCTCAAGATTGCAAAATTGCTTCTCAATGCTCTCTGTAAATACGTGTCAATCAATCTCTCATTAAACTTCTTTGAAACATATCATGCATGCTCTAAATATCAATACGCAGAAAAAAAAGTGTGTTTAGTCTTGGATCATGGAGGTAAGCAAGAATACTTGCTTAGCTTCTATTAGAAAAATCCGGGCCTGATCAGTAAAATCTTGATAATCTATATCACATAACAACTTACATGAATATATTCAATGATAGCTAATTTTCTGGTGAATTATTTATGTACTAATTTATTTGGTCCGAAATTACATATGGCTTTATTAAAATCCTGTCCTTGAGCTTCTGAAAAAAGAAATTCGCTTTCCTCTGTAATGTAGGTTGTATTTTCACGTCCTGGAAATGTTGCTGCACTAAGCAATCCATACAGAGGTTTCCCTTCAGCATACTGATCCTTCTCTCTGAAGGAAGACAGCACCAACACATGGAAGCCAGTCCAAGCATTAATTTCTCTGTTTTTCTGTGCTTCTTTGTCAAGTTATGTTGATCATTTGTTGTCGGTGATAAAATCTTGCACCAAATTCGAAGCTCTAAATTATTGCTTTGTCTGTTCTGTTCTGTTGTCAGTGATCGAATTATTGCTTGGCCTGGCAAGTGGCAACTATAATTTTTTTATTATTTGAGGTGAGCGAGAATCTTGCCTTTTGATTTGGGAAAAAGATTTGCTACGTGGCACAAATTTAGGATACAATTTCGATTCGCTTTTCAAATAAAGAATTTTGCTTTTGCTTTTTTGCCCGTGCTGAAGTGATTGATGATGATAATAATAATAATGGTAATAATAATAATAATAATTTGGAGAGAAAACTTCATGTTTGCCCATGTAAATTTATCAATATTACATTTCTATCTAATATTTTTATAATTTCCAAAAGTTTGGTATTTTTTTCTATCCATCAAATAGCCTCCGTTTTATTTTGTTTCAGGTTTATGAATGTTTATGTGATAGATTATAGCATGTTTGTAGATTAAGAGGGAAAAGGAGAGAAGAAGGAAAAGATGAAAAAGTGAGCTTTCTGTAATAGTTGAAGAGTGAAATTGAAACTTACTAGAAACTATAGGGGAGCTAATGGGAAAGTTTAGGCTATGAGGATAGAAGTGAAGCATTGATCAATCTATGAGGGCAAAAACGACGTACAGCTTAATCTTGATCTCCTGTAACATGTACTGACATGTTTTTGCTTTATTACTCGGCAAGTCGATAACGTATGTTACCAGATCAATGAAAATGATTAATTCCTAGCAACAAAAACCCTTGTCTATCTACCTGTCTAGTCTAGCAGTTCTTTGATCGACCTTTCCAGCTGCTTTTATTCCCAAGTTTTGCTGCAATTATCAGGTATGTATGTATGTTCTTGTTTCTTTTTGTATCCAATGAACATAGAAATGCTCACATATACACGCTTGGAGTTGGCTAATCCTCCCCAAAGAAAAAGGAAAGGAAAACAAATCAAAGATCTTCTATATATATATATATATATATATATGCAGGTATTTTCTTTTGCTCAGCTTCCATAATATCCATCATGGATTTTGTTTTTGGAATTAATAATCGTCATCAGAGATCTTACTTTACCTTTGATACGTGTGTTAAGGTGGCTAGACCTTTTTATAAAATTCTGCCTGTATAGAAAGCTATGTATGTTTAGCTGGAAACCCAAAAAATGTTGCAGACATGGTGAATTAAAATACTTAATTCATGGATGTATAATATTGTATAAACAAGTTCATGAGTCGTGCTAGATTAGAATCTCTTAATTAAGAAATCAATACCCTATATATAAATAATTTAATTAATGAAAAAGAGAAAATCCTGGATATTTAGCTGACCGTCTGGCTACAAAACCATGAAGTTGTTAGCTGGCCGTCGAGCTGCTCCTATATAACAGCATCGTTAGCCTTCTTGAACTTGATCATCGTGAGGAGTAGAGAAATTCATCATGTTGATTTGTAGATCATATAAAGCTCGAGGTTTAATTCTCTCGCAGTCTTGTAGCATCAATGGCCGCTGCACATTGTTCCTCTGGAGAGACTGGTGCTGTTCTGATCCATGGAAAACAAATGGCACCTTCTCGGTTAGAAGCTTGGGCTCGTCTTTTTGTTAATAAATTTCTTGGAAGTCATATCTCCACTGACCGTTTAATGTAAGTTCACCAGCGAAAATGATCATTTTTTTATATTAGTTTACAAGTTTTTCGAAAATGAATAAATATAATTGTCAAGAAATTAGAAAAACCAATTAAACTAAGGGGGTGTTTAATTTATATATTTTCTGATTACTAATGTATATTGAAATCATTTATATGGAGAAGAAATATAATGAAATAATCATCATTACTTTTAGTTTTTTTTTTTTAATTTAGATGATAGCATGTACTGATTAAATTGAGAAAAAATACGAGCTAATTATAAGAATTCGAAGGCAATAAAAAACGCACAAATAAAGCTCTTGTTTCTAATATAATAATACTGAAAAAACAAAAGAAGTCGAGAAGAGAATGGAATCATATATCAGAATCTTTTTTTTTTTTAAATATCAAAGCAATTTTTTTTTATGAAAAAACATATCAAAGTAATTTAATAAGAGAGAACGTTGAAGCTTACTTCTTGTTATCCATTTTTGGAGGCCCTCACACAAAAAAAGAAAGAAAAAGAGAAAATACAAACTAATAATAAAAATTGTAGGAAGAAAAAAAATATTAGTAAGAAGAGGATACCAGAACGCCAAGAAAATGACTAAATATTATAAATATTAAAATTTGATAATATATTTTTAACTTATGAGAACTTTGTTAGCAGAGAAAATTTAATTTAGAAAAAAGAAATTCAAAATTAGATGTTTAAAAACCCAATTGGATTTTTTTTGAAAGTTTAATTGAATTTTTAAGGGTTTAATTGTAAAAAAATTAAAATTTTAAGTCAATTTGGGCTTTAATGGAAAGAAATTAAAGTTTAGGGGTCGAATTATAATTTTTAAGAGTTAATTTGATCAAATCAGGGGCTTAATTGCATAAATATTAAAGTTTGATGGGTAATTAGAGACTTGATTGGAGAAATTCAAAACTAAGGACCAAACTGGAAAAGGTGCGCAAATATATGGGCTAAAATTGATCGGATTAGAGACTATATTGAAAAAATTAAAAGTTTGTTGATCAATTAAGGGAATTGAAAATCAAGGATCAAAGTGAAAAGATGGTCAACTTTAGGGTTGACATTTGAATTTGACAGGGATGCAATTGAATTGATTTTTAAAATTAAAATATCAATTGAGGATTTGATTGAACAAATCAAATATTGAGGATAAATTTCAAAACAAAGACCTTTTAACGCCATTTTTTAAAATGAAACAAGGTGTTTTATATAATACGACGCTGTTTCATTTACTATTATAAAAAAAAAGATAGACGAAACGATGTCGTTTTGATGACACTATTTGCCATCTTCTTCCCCTAGATGCACCGCAAGCAGGGGAATAAAGTTTTTCTTTCCATCCATTGTAGCGTCTTTCCCTTCCACATGTCTAAAACCCTGACATAACCCACACCCTCTCATGGCCTACCATTATAATAATAATAAAAAAAAACAGAGAGGACAAGCCCTGCGCTCCCCCCTTTATAAATACCCCTCACCTTATAAAGACCCCCTCTTTAGGAGGTGGGGGGACGACAAAAAGAGAAAAAAAACCCACACAGAAATAAAAAGAAAAAAAAAATAGAAGCAAAAAAAAAAGAGAGGAAAAAATCAAAGAAAAAAGAAAAAAGAAAGGAAAGGAAGGGAAGAAACAGAAAAGAAAGAAAGAAGAAAGGAACAAAATCAAAGAGAAATAAAAAAAAAAGAGAAAGATAAACTCCTCAACCTCTCACCATTTTCTTCTCTCTGTCAGCTTCTTTGCTACTTCTAGAACCACCACAAATTTGCCTCATTACAGCCATAATGTCGTCGTGAGTCACTACCATGTCAGCTTTCGCCTCTCCTTCTCCCTTTATCTCCATTGTTTTGCTAGTGAACAGTGGAGAGTTAGAATAGAGTATGTTGGGTTGAATTTAACCCAACCCCTATTTTAGGCCAATCTCGGTCCATTTTATTTTAGGCTGAATCTTGGCCAAACTAGGATGAGCTCAGTGACACAATCAAAGAGTTGATGTCTTATCCCAAGTGCAGGAGTGTCAAAGTAAAATAACCCGGCAAGACCGGGGTCGAACCACATGGAGATGAATTATATAAATTACAAATAAAGAAAAAGATTTGAAGAGAATAATAACAGAAAAGGAGTTGAAGAATGTTTTGGGATGTGATATTGATGTAAGGATTAAATAATAACAAAACATATGTCAAGATTATAGGATTCACTAATGATATTTCAAATAAATATAATATAAACTCTTTTTATTACTCAACTAGAAACCACACACAAAGGAAGTTCTAATCGGATGATTTCTCATTATTAGCTCATTATAAATTACTAACATAATCATATTAATTATCTTATCTAAGTAATACCATACTTATAAATATCATCAAGCATTCATGTTGCTAGTTTATGTTAACAACAAATCAAGTTCCTATCATAATAACGATGTCGACCGAAAACTATGAAGGATCAAGCATTTGATGTACCAAATATTATACAACACAAATCTAAATTAACCATTTAATAAGCAAGGTATTAAGAATTAGTAAGATAAAAAGATAAAACATGTTAATAATAATCTTTCTTGGATATAAACATTTAAAGCTCATGTTGAGTTTATATTATACCTATTCTAACACCATTAGAGAAACCTTTTCACCTTGACATAATTAACTTAGCTAAACATTAAGAAGGAGAAAAACATAAATAAACAATATAAGAACATAAACATAATATAAGCTAACTAAGTATAGGAAAGGAAATGAAAGAGCATAAACAAGAGATTACTATAGCATGAAAGAAAACTTGAACATTACAAAGATGTAGAGAGAAAGCAAGAAGATAACTTTGATCTGAAAATTAATATGACTAAATACATGGACAATGCCTCCTTTTATAGGCTAAGTTTCAGAACTATTGATTGATTGAAGAATTGGTGGGCATCCATTGATTTGGTGGCTGGTTTTTGACATTAATGGCTGCTGTTTTTTTGATATTGTGGGCTGATTATTGATATTGTTGGCTGGCCAAAACGTCATTGCTCACATCAGAATTATAGCCAACTAAATTGTGGAAGTTGTGGGCAATTGTCTCAGCTTTCTAGCAAAAAAAACCAGAGCTCATTTGGACTTCTAGAACTCAAGATATGAGCCAAAAACCGAATAGTGTTTGAGCTGCAGGACAGCTTCCGACGTCTTCGTTGTTGCTAAGATTTGAGCTTGAAAACGACAGAATTGAGTCTTTGAGTCCATATGAAAGTTGTAGGTCTATATCTTACCTTTCCATTGATATAAAATGGACCTAAATCTGATATCTACAGCTCCAGATATGATCAAATTACCGAACGGTGTTCGTGTTTGGAATGCACCAGCAACACTTTGCTAAGTTTGACCTTCTTTTTATCCTTTCAATTTCAATCCTTAAACTCATCAATCAATCCTTTTATTTATGTGATAGACCTGAATTTAGGATGAACATTTACCATGAATTAAAGGTATATTATATTTTTAGACTTGCTAATATAAAACATGCTTTTGTTAGGGAATTTAATGATACTTTAAGTGCAATATGATGACATAAATCCTTAATGAGAATGCACTTT